AGTGTTTTATGGAGCTAAAGTGAGATTTTGAATGATGTAGTTAGCTGTAAAAGTAATTTTGGTTAGAAGATGAAAAAGGTTAGAGAAGAAGATGGAGAAGGGAAGAGGGTGATGTGAATGTGAGGTTAGGATTAGGGTTATGGGATAACAATGCTCTGCGACTATAACAAAGCATGATGATGAATTTTCAATTTTGCGATGTGGTATTTGTTATCGTTGTTGCTACTTATTAGGTCTATCAAAGTTGCTCTTGCGCCACCATGTTGCCTGTGAGAGAGACACAATCAAAGTTGCTTTTGCGCCGCCATGTTGCCTGTGAGAGAGACACAAATGTTCTTTTAATGAAAACCTACAAAGTTAAGAAGCCTAAAACTAATAATAACTTCAAAATACATAAAAAAAAAGTTACTTCATATTACACAATACCAACTACACTGCCCCATATGCACAATCTATTGTTTTTTTTCTAAAAATTTAACAGAAACATATAGACTAGCAAAATCATTTTTGAGAGATTGGACTAAACATTTATTAATTAAAAGACTAAAATAAATTCTTAAATTAAATTAAGAGACTAAAAAATATAGTAAATTTTAAAGAGTTTAATTGAAATACAATGTCAGTGTAAAATGATTTTACACTGTCAGTTAATTATAGTCATTAAATATTCAGAAGAGTCGAACTTTTATTGTAATCACTTATAAAATAAGAAGACAAATGATAGTGATGAATCAATAGTATAAAATTTTTTAGACTGATAATTCATAGTAAGTAATCTCAATCTTAAATATATTATTTCTTATCTCTTTCTGTTTTTTCACGTCTTTCTTCCTTCTCAATTTCTTGTCGCATAGCAATATCGCTTTTGTAAAAAAAAAAAGAATTTTTCACCCAAATAATCTACATTTCACCCCTATAATTCCATTTTACCCAACATTCCACCATATATACCAATCTACCCAACTTTGACGTTTTTTTTTTAAATTACAAAGGGGCGCCATTGGTGTTGGAGCCACCCTTATAAACAATAGGGGGCGCCATCCCCTTTGGAGGCACCCTATAATTTATAAGGGGGGCGCCATCCCCTTTGGAGCCTCCCTTAAAGAGTTAAAGGGGGGCGCCATCCCCTTTGGAGCTCCCTTTATTTCGTTATATTTTTTAATTCTACTATAAATAATATAATTATAATATAATACTATTTTGGACTAAAATTTTGTGTATAAATAGTTAGACTTGTTTCATTCAAATTAAAATTGTTTCATCCAAATTTAGGAGAGTGAGTCATGTATCTTAGAAGATATGAGCATGTAATTTTTTCAAGAACGAAGCCTCCGATAAGGATGTTGTTTTGGAACATCCAGAGTTTAGAGCAACTATGAAGAAATTTGAATCGGTGGTTAGAAGGAGGCATTCCAAATGGTGAAAGCATTAGGAGTATTGAAAGACTTGTCTCGTACTTCTCTGTTGAAGACGAAAATATACAGCGGGAATGGGTGCGAATTAGAGATGACAACGCAGTTAGGTCAATGATGTTTGGAACTGATGATATTACTTTGATTGTTGTTATAGTTTAGTTTATGTTGTAATAATCGTTATATTTTTAATGATTTGCGTAGTTGCTATAGAAGTATTTCAATTTGTTTATGTGGTAATCAGAAGTTGTTATAAATATTAAATTCCAAGGTTACACATTTTTTTAATGACCAAATTAAATCTATCTAGAACTGGTTCCAACATTTGGACAATTATTCCTCGTATGCCCGGGAAGATGACATATTCCACATGTCTGTCGGAAATCAGACATAAGTTGGGTTGAGGAGCGACATGTGTTCTGAGATTTCTGAGGAAGAAACTCCAAGCTTCACCTGTCTCACCCTCAACCAGGACAAAGACAATCGGAAATATATTATTATTTTCGTCTTGTGCAACCGCCATCAACAATGTTCCTTTGTATTTTCCATACAACCATGTCCCATCGACTTGAATAACCGGTTTGCAGAACGCAAAACCTTTGATACATGGTTGAAATGCCCAAAAGAGACGAGATAATATCCTACTTCCATCAACACATGTTCCTTCAGGAGTGTATGCTGGTAGTGACTCCAATATTACAACCGTACCAGGAACATATTTTTGAAGTGCTAGTAAATACTATGGAAGTTGATTGTAAGATTTTTCCCAATTTCCATATACATGTTCAACAACTTTTATTCTTCCAATCCAAGCTTTCCTGTACAATGGGGTATAGTTGAATCGTGCAACCTGCGTTACGACAAACTACAACGTAGCGTTTCGAGTCGTTCCGATTGATGTAAAAATCAACGAAGTTATCCATATGAAAATTTCTTATAGCTTTCATGCACTCTTCTTTTGTTCGGTACTGGTTTCCCACTTTTAAAACACCTTCAATTTGTTGAGAAGGATTGTAGAAAACATCTGAGGAAGTATCGTCTCCACTCAATTGCAAGTTCGTCATGTGTTAGGGAGGATAATACGTATGTCTTAATGGTAGTGTCTCCTCATCTATGTCTTAAAGCGGAGTTAGTGCAGTGTAGTCCCCAGTCTCGAATAAATTAACCATTTGATCAACCATGGCCTCAGTTTCTTCTTCCTCCTCGTCCATGACATCAACTTCATCTACATCCGTTGTTTCACCAACTTGATGTTGAGTCTGGCAGAGTAATAGATAAACATCGATATAGTCGAACCCATAGTGTTCATGACTATCAAACATTTGTTCTACATCGCTGTCCAACAAAATAATTTTGAATTCCCATACGCTACAAGGTAATTACTTAGACCAAGAATGATCAATCTTTCATAGTCTTTTACTTAATTTATCCTATTATTAACAAATGTTTTCTTTTCGATTTGTAGGTGGTCTTCACTTGGGATGAATTACGACAACTGTCCCCATTTCAGTATCACCCAATACAAAAATCTTATAGATCATTTGGGACAAGATGATGTAAGTACTAAATATTATTAGAATATAGTATCCTTAACCTACCTATTTAGAATATAGTCTCCTTAAATATTATTAGAAAATACTAAATATTATTTTTTCTCCTACAGTTTATTTGGCGGCCATATCTTGGTCTAGAAGTCATTCATGAAGTTAACCAACACGACTCTGCAGTGTGGAGTGCAAAGGTGCCGATTATCAACTTCACCACCGTGGAGATGCACAACAGTGATCGTGTAAAGCTTCAGTTTGGAATGCTTCAAGATATTCCATGTCCGCCGAAATGCATCCTCGACAAATATCACACCGGTAAAGTCTCCGACAAATGGGAATATTCTCTATGGACCAAGTATGCAAAACATGAGTGTCGTGAATGGAGGCATCGCAACCATTTTGTTTTGTCCGACACTGTATTTCCATACGAGAGAAAATAGACTATCCAATACATGAATTGGTATAGGGAGGTATCCATTGGTTTCATTTCGCATCCAAGATATCTTGTTGACCCACGCCAACAAGCCTCATCATCAAGACCCCAACAACCAACCTAGCCCCATTTCCAACCGCCAACCCAACCCCATTTCCAACCACCAACCCAACCCCATTTCCAACCGCCAACCCAACCCCCACCCACACAACCACAACTATATCAACATACCCCTAACCAATTCACCTCATTCACACAAACTTATTCACAGTCTGAATACCAACAATATCCACCACAATACCAAACATACTCCATGGATACTACAAACCAAATAAACACCCAGCTTCAAACACCAAATCAACTCTTACCCGCCCAAACATTTACACCCATGTCACCCTACGACCAGGCAGGCTATCGTCCTAACATTGCCTCATCCAGCCAACCACCCCAAAATAATTACGAAGGCATGGACAACCCTTTTGATTTGGATGACTTTACGGAGATGGAATCGTCTACATGGGCCGAAGTTATGCAATTACTTGAAGACGACACGGTCGACCCGACTCCACCACAAAGACGACCAAGAAACGTACGTAATCGAGGATGCGGTACGGGCGGACATTTAAACCGACCTAGTCGTAGAAATTAGTGTGCCGCTCATATGTACCCATTTGTGATTAAATGAAAATCGTAATTATTATTTAATATTAAATTTATTAAATACAATTTAATTTTTATTTTTTATTTGGAAATTATTAATGAAAAAAATATTTATTATTTATTTATTAATTATAACATTATTTAAAAATTATTTAAAAAATTTTGTTTATAAAATTATTATTTATTAAATATTTTTTAATTGTTAATTATTATTTATTAAATATTTTTAAACTTATTATATATTTAAAACTATTTTAAAAATTCGTTTAAGGAGGTTCCAAAGGGGATGACGCTCCCCTTATAAATTATAGGGTGCCTCCAAAGGGGATGACGCCTCCTATAATTAATAAGGGTGGCTCCAACACCAATGGTGACCCTTTGTAATTTAAAAAAAATGTGAAAAATGGGTAGATTGATATATATGGTGGAATGTTGGGTAGAATAAAATTTAGGAGGTGAAATGTAGATTATTTAGGTGAAAAATTAAAAAAAAAATTAAAAATATTTAAAAAGTCAAAGATTGAAAACCTACCATGAGACTGGAAGGATTATTGGGATTTGGGAATAACTTCCATGTGGGTCCCATTAAGACAAGCATGTGTCATAGAGAATGGAAAGGGATGGAAATCAAGTGAGAGCACATGGATGGAGGGGGCATCCTACAATACTATGGGCTTATAAATACCTCTTCATACATTACATGTTCCAACACACATCTTCTCTCGATCACGTGTTCTCCTCTCCTTTTTCTCTGCCTTCTGCTCTCTCTCCTTAATTGTTATCTCTTTACTTTGTTTGCTTCTTCCATGCAAACCTTATCCAATACTATCTTTTAGTCATTACTTTTGTTCTTTAGCTTTACTTCTCTCTATTACATAACCACTTTTGTTCGTTAATTGCTTTTCTAAAAAACCACTCAAAATACTTAATCACTTTCTAGCAAAAGATATGGAGAACAAGAACAACAAAAAGAAAGTTGGAGGAGCTGGTTCTTCCTCATCCCCTACCAATTTTGATCATCTTTTTGGCCCCAAACATCCTTCCACTACTTCATCTTCTTCCAATAGCATCTTTAGCTCCATTTTTCCACCACCATCCACTGTATGCATGATTTTTCCTCTCTCTTATATTTATTATCAAATAAGTTAATTGACTAAATTTTTAATTTTTAATAAAATTAATAGTTGAATTATTTTATGATTATTAAATGTTATAAAATATATATTTAATTAATTTTTAATTTTTTTCAATTAATATGTGAAAAAAAGTAAGGAAAAAATGATGAGATATAAACTACTTGAATTAACTTATCACAATTTATTAAAAAAAATCATCTAGTGAATAATAAAAAGAGCAGGTAAAATAGTTCAATTGATATATATTAGTTGAGTCAGATAAATATAAATTATTGATCTAAAAATCAGTTTTTTATAGCAGTATGTTTTTGTATTTTCTCATAATAGATTTAATGTAGTATACTTATAAATAATATTTTTTAACAATAAAAAGTTATTATCTTATAATTATTTTTTAAATATATAAACTTATGAGTTATAGGTATAAGTTATAAGCTGAAAATATAGCATTTTCAAACAGAACCTCAGTGTCCAATACATCTTGAATAATGAAGAGAATCTTTGATAAACCAAAAAATAATAATGGAGTATATATACTCGTATGGTCTGAAACTTGTTTAAAAAAACAATTAATACCCAGAATTTGAACTATGAATGAGTATATTTTTCACATGTGTCTCATTGTGTATGAGAATCTATATATTTTATATATGAATTACACTAGTGGAATTAATTAACATATATCTTTGTTACTGCTTTGTAACTTTAGGTTGGAAGGAGAGATTCAACAAGGCACGACATGAGAAGCAATAATTATGGAGCATCAGGTTCGTTAATTAAACATATAGTAATCTGACTTGGTTGGAGTACAAAATATAGATATGCTATTTTGAGTTAACTCCATCCTCAAAACCTGTCTACATACAGGGAACATGTAACTTTTTCATGTTTGGGTTTTTGTAGTAAAGTTTGAGTTTGGATTGGTTTCAGGAAGTTACTCAAACAAAGGTGAAAATAGTGGTGGCATCTCTAACAAGAATAATAATACTAGCAGTGATAACAGTTATCAAACTGAGACAGTGGAGCCTAGTTACTACAGCTCATCAATCTATTATGGTGGTCAAGAAAATTATAATTCTCCAAGAACCTGCAGGACCACTCAACCTCCCCATATTGTAACTCCCTTATATTCTCATACGCTTTATCATATGCTTTTGTTCGATGTAAGTCTTAAGTTTTTGAAGGTCCTGTGTAAGTTAGTCAGACAAAATAACTACCGTGAGAAATATTTTGAGCTCATGATAAATATCTGTTTTGCACTCCCTCAAAGACGGCTATGCTCTTATTAAATATATGCTAAGGTTCATTGTTAAATGATTTTGCAGATCAAGAAAAATAAGGATGATGATGATGATGATGATTCAAATGGTAGTGATTCTGGCAGTGCTTCGAGAGGAAACTGGTGGAAAGGTCATAAATATAATAATCTTTGCATGTCCATTAGCAAAAACAATAAAAAAAGAAACTGAAAATAAAATATATAATAGTATTAACTTTGTGTTTGTGTTTGTGTTTATGCAGGTTCCCTTTATTATTAACGTGATCACTATCGCAGTACTCTTGTGGTCTAGTTAGTTAATTAACTATAGTATGTGGAAATAAAGCATGGTAGCTGGTGCATGCAATGATGCAACTACTACTTTTGGCAACATGTGTGTTGGGTTCTTTTTGTCACGTCTCGCACATAAAATGTATAAGTTAAAATGTATAACACCAAAGACAACCTTCGACGGTAGCTAGTTTGAAGAAATAATTACTACCTGTCGAGTGTGTTGTTGTTTTTAGACTCTAGTGTTGTTGTTGTATAATCATGTGACTCTGTTATGTGTATGGGTACTTTGTGCTATTCTGGTTTTATATGTAATATATATCCACTATATAAGTAGTTTATTTTTATTTTTACTTTTCTTGGATTGCATACTTGGCTATATATAGGATTGGTGAAATTATTGTAAGCCCTTTTAGAATGTAAATAACTAATAGCATTGAAATGGGACTCAAGGTCATACATTTGCAAAAAATTAGGTTTAACAAACTCTTGAAAACCTTCTAAAGATTTGATGTCACTGAAACATAGATGATATGAAAAGTATCTCAGGCTATATTTCTTCACTCGGATTAAAAAATTTCTTTTAAGGTCGTAGAAGTAAGTTATGGTTGCACAGTCAATAGCAGAAGTAGAATACCTATAATACTCTAAATCCTAAAACTTATATATTAAACTTGACACGACAATCTAAGGTGTCACAAAGGATAAATTCTTTAACAAATCAAATATTTAACAAACACACAGCAGAAATATCAACAACATACAATACATTTCATTGCACGCTCACCTTCACTTAAAATATCATTGCGGCGGTATCAATCTTATTTCAATTAAATAAAACAACAAATATAACTCAGACATTTAGTCTCGACTTCAAAATGATATAAATTGGTATTAAAATATTGAGTTATCATGTTCAACTCTCAACAACTTTAACATAAACCGAATAAAACAAATTAAGATCCAACAAAACATAATAAGCAAACAAATGTTCCCAACCCCGATGTTACAGGATCAGAGCAAGACTTCTAAACAACGATGAATCTAAACGAAGTAACTTCCGAAGCTAACTTCCACTTACAACAACAAACTCTACCCTTGAGTATCTGCAAGATGTCCATGGTGGAAAACATGAAAGCAAAGGGGTGAGAATACACTTATGTAATTTAACGGTGTAAACAACCAAAGGTAGAATATCACATAACAACAAGTACACATGCTAATCATACCAACATCCATACATCAAGTATTATCATCCATACAACACATCACCAAATGATCATTCACAAATGCAACACAAATGCAAATGTACTCAACAACTAAGTCAACATGCATGCAGTACCATTCATGAATACTCAGGTTCATCTTGCTCTTAATCCCCACCATGGAATCATAGCACACCAAATCGTTACCATCACCATATATAACGCTTCACCAGCCCCGAGCTAGAACCGGCTACTCACTCCCGATCCCCATCATAGGACTAAAGCACACCAAAGTTCGTTACCATCACCATAGGTAACGCTTCACTAATTATTCACTAGAACTAGCTACTCGCTCCCGATCCATACCACCGGACCAGAGATCACCAAAATTGGACCGAACCCCGTACACCATGAATGTATAACTCTCAACAACATGAATTATCACCAAACGATTCACCAAAAGAATCACCATGCATCTATCACCACTTATGCACAACATCATTGAACATATGCAACATACACTCAATGTTACGACATCAATAAACCACAACATACAACAACATTCAATCACAACAAATATCACCATAATATTCACCGTTTACACCACACAACATGGTTCATCATTTAAATCATGTTAAAATTTATTAAGCACTACTAATAATTAATCATAGATACAAAGTAGTACCCAACAACACCTCGATTCATCATACAATAGAAAAAACTGGAATATAAACTCAATTCCACGCACCAGAGCTCATTACGCTCATTCTGGGTGCATGACGGGTAACCCGCCATGGTGATGGCCCCCGTTATAGACTCTAAACCCATGGCGACTTGGTTTCCATGATGATAGCGCCCGCCATCGACCTACAACCTGTAGAATACGTTTTTATGCATAGAGTTCAATTCAGAACTCTGATTTCCCACTTCTAGTAGCCAATTTTGATCCAAAATAGTACCAAAATATCATATACACCTATAATCCTATTATTCCATCAAATTAACATCTTTACTCAATTAATTTCCTATTTTCACAACACCCTTCAAACCTTCAAAGATATCAACAATGGCATAAACATGAAAACACTCATAACAGAATATTTAGCACATATTGGTACACAAATTTGATCATCAAATCATCATATAATATCAACACAACCCAATTATACTGATTTCACATACAACACATAATTCCATTGGAGGTTAAGGATTCCTCAACTCTACCTCTCATGCTTAACACCCATTAAAGAAGAAATCTCCTTTTTTACCTTGTTTTCCTAGCAACAATGGAATCTCACATTTGGGTTCTTCTTCTTCTACCGCTAGCCTTTTGATCTCACTCTTGCCTTGTTTAATGCCAAAGATGCTTTCATTTGATCCTTATTTATTGACATTTTTCAACTCGTTGTGTTGTTTTGTTGGATTTACTCTATTTTATCATGTTATTCTTCAACATTGTGAAAATACATTTGGTTGTTTTAATTTGTGTGTTATTGTGTAGGAATTAGGCATAAAAGCCATCAAAGTATAAGACACAAGCATTTGGATAAGGAAACAAAAGGAAGAGAAGAATTTCAGCATGTTTGTTGTGCGAACTGCCAGCGAATGTTCACTGTGCAAACACATGGCGAAGCTCTAATGAACCATCTCAGAAAGATGGCAGTAAGAAAAGGACAATAAGTTTGCTGGGTGAACTTACAGCAAATGTTTGTTGTGGCGAAGGAGCAGCAAAGAGACAGCGAACTATCCCAGACCCAAGTCAGCAGCTAAAGGACTCTAAGTTCGTTGTGCAAACTTATAAGCGAGGTAGTTTGCAGTACGAAGAATTGCTCACATAGCGAACTTCAGATATTTCTCAAGGACAGTTTAACTATTTAAATGCACTTCAGGTGCCAAAGAGGGAGTTTGTTGGGCGAGGAAACTATTCACAGTGTGAATGTGACAGATTCTAAAAGTACTATATAAGTACTTTTCACTATTTTTGGGGATCATAACCCACATTTATACCCTAGAACTTCATTTCTCATATTTTCTTCACGAGAAGGTAATTTTTTGCAAATAGAAGTTGAATTCACATCCGAGTTCAATTCTTTGACGTGGATGCTCATTCATCTTCTTCCAAGACTTGTAAAGCAAGCTACCATGGTTATGGGTAGCTAAACTCCTTTTTATCAAAGGTAGAGATAGTCTACCATTAGTTTGTACGTATTTCTTTTGATTGGCCTTGTATGTGAACAAGTGATGATTAATATATGATGAATATTTTTGTTCTTAATGATCCATTCTTATTTTGCAAAACTCTAGACATAGATTTTGTAAAACTTAACCTAAAATATTCATCTGTCGATTTATAGATTGGAGAAATCGGTCTATGGTCGATAACTGCTTTGTGTTGAACTTAAAGCTTATTAAATTGGTTGTTATATGGAGAAATCGTGTAGCGATGAATACGGTATTTCTCACAACACCGCTCTAGACATAGACGGTGTTGAGAGAATGCGTGACGATATTAATCGGATCCGACTTCACATGCAAGATTGAAAGAATACGTATAAATTAGGGTAGACGAAAACTACTTTTGATATACTTTGTTAACAAAAATCTTTAGATTTATAAGCTTTGCTACTAAACAAAACGTGATAAATTTATGAACAAAAATTTGAAACCCTTATTCTTGAAACGATAAACTGTTGAGGCAAGCATCAAAATATCTGCAATCCCTGTGAAGGCGATAACACAAATCTCCCTTTAATTATGATTCGAATAAAACGGCATCGTTGCCGAAGATTGTTTGATATTGCAAGCATTGCAATAGTTTATTGATTTAAGAACTTTGTATCGTATTCTTACCTTTGTCTACTTCTCTTATGTTGTTTAATTTGTTTGGTTAAATGTGAAGAATCTGTTTATCTAAAGGAGTTTGCCTGCAGACCAACTTCTTTTTGATCCTGAGATTAAAAGAACTGTTCGTAAGCTCAATAGCAGAACTAGGCGAAGGAAACAGATTACCTAAGAAAGAATAGAGCACAGAAAAACTTTTACATCTACACCCATTGCAACGTCAATCATGGCTAAACCACCACCTCCTGCTTCAACACCTTGTACCAATAGTCCAAGGCATAATGCTCATTTTGTGCGTAATGCCTAAAATGGGAGGCATTCTAAGATGAAAATGGGAATTCTTGCTCTTTTGTATCAAAATCCTTTTACTGGTATGGATCATAAGGATTCGTTCACACATCTCACCAAATTCTATGAGATTGTGGGTGCAACGAGAGAACTAGAAACTAAAGAGGAATCCTTGTTCAAGAGATTATTTCTTCATTCTTTAATCAGGAAAGCGAAGGAATGATATCTTGATTAATCAACTTTGGTAATGACTGATCAGAATGTATTGGAAGAAAAGTTTATTGAAAGTTTTTTCCACATAATAGATTCATGGAAGCAAAGACATCGATATCAGTGTTTTCTCAAGGTGGAAATGAATCTCTCAATGAAGCTTGGGAGAGGTTCAAATCCATGTTATGAAAATGTAAATGTCGCGGTTTCGATGAATTAACTCAAGTACACATCTTTCAAAATAGGCTCCAATCAGCTCACAAGACTTTGTTAGATGCTACTTCTGGTGGTTCATTAATGTCCAAGAGTGCGGAAGAGGCGGTGTCCATCATTGATAGGATGGAACTCAATGATTATCAAGGAAATCAAAATTGTGGCACACCTCAAAGAAAACCGGAAATGATTGACTTGGGAACAAATGACGCAATTCTTGCTCAAAACAAAT